GCCCAGAGGGCACCTCGCCGGCCCCCTAACCTGCCAGGGACTCCCCAGGTGCGATGTGGACCGAGGCTGGGGCTTTAGGGGTGCGCACCCCCTCTCTCACCTGCACCGCCAGCCCAGGCCGCCCTCCCCCACAGACCACCAGCCGAGCCCGAGGTCCCTGACCGGTCCCCAGGGGCTGCCCGCTTCCCGCGCCCGCGTCCCAGCGAGCAGAGCCCGCGCTCAGCGAGGCCACCGCACCCACCCCTGCAGCTGTCACAGAAGACCACAGGCCCTGGCAGAGCCGGAGACGAGCCGGGAGCCAAGCACACCGAGCCCTGTGCGTCCTCCTCAGACCTCGGACCTTGGAGCTCGGACCTCGAACCTTGGTCTGTGTCCCGCTGGGCCCTGCTAGAGGCCGAGGGTCAAGGCCAGCAGCAGGCGGGCATGTGGCCTCGCAGCCGGAGATGCGGCTCGGCGGGTGCTCAGAGCGGCCTGCGGAGGCCGGCAGCCTCCGGGGACACACCAGGCGCCACCTTGTCACCGGCGCACAGAGAGGGCCTCCTCTCCTATTCACGTCTCTCTCTCTCTCTTTTTTAAAAATATATTTTATTGATTTTTCACAGAGAGGAAGGGAGAGGGATAGAGAGCTAGAAACATGGATGAGAGAGAAACGCCCATCAGCTGCCTCCTGCACACCCCCCACTGGGGATGTGCTGCAACCAAGGTACATGCCCTTGACCGGAATCGAACCTGGGACCTTTCAGTCTGCAGGCCGATGCTCTATCCATTGAGCCACACTGGTTTCGGCTCTCTCTCTTTCCTAACGAGAACACGCACTCGGGGTCACGGGTGCCAGACAGGCCTGGGACCGCGCCGGGGTCTGCCACCTCCTCCGGGCCCCAGACGCTTCCTCGCCCTCCCCAACCCCGGGCTGCGTCCTCCGCGGGCGAGGACACGGACGATGGCGGGTCCTGGCTGTGGAGACTGAGCCGGATCCGCTCCTGCGGGGTTTGACCGTTACACCCTCGCGGCCGGCTTCATCCCCGAGCCCCGGGCTCCGGCTAAACAAAGAGGCGTGAGTCCCCACCCCCCTCTCTGTTCCCCCGGCCACACCCAGGGGTGGCCTCGGGGCTGCAGGTTTCAGAGTGAATACCATCCACAGAGCATCCTTCAGGCCCAACCCTGGCTCCTCTGCCTCTGGCTCACAGGAGCCACACACCTGGTTCGGCGTGGTGGGTTGGGTGGTGGGTTGGGTGGCGGGTTGGTTCTGTGTCACCCCACACGGCGGTGTGCACGCTGACCGCTAGGGGCAGTGAAAACGCACACTGGGTCCCCGTGGCCTGAACTGACTGTGCCTCCGAGCCCCAGACTCCACCCCCTCCTGTGCAGGGCGGGGTGGGGGGCACCTGGGCAGGTGGGCGGAGCCCACAGGTCCTCCGGCCAAGTTCATGGCCGCTGGGGACAGCACGTGTGTTTCCTTCCTGTTATGCTTGTCGGGGGCCCGGCGGAGGAGCAGCAGGAGGAGCTGAGGGTGAGGCGAAGGCTCCTCGGGGTCCCCCCCCCTACTCCCCCCGGTCCCTGAGGGAGGCCGGGGTCCGGTGTCCTCTGCTCAGGCGCCTGGACCGGCACACGGTGAACAGACTCGGGGCTGGGCGCACAGTGGCCACCCCCTGACGCCCGCGAACACCCGGCCACCACAGCGGGTGCCCAGGAGGCCCTGTGCTCAGGCCCGGGGGACCCCACCAGGTGTCGGGGAGGCGGGGCTCAGGGGCTGAGCGGCGACCTGCGAGCCAGGAGGTCAGGGCACAGGCCCGGGTTGAGGGCTCGATCTCCAGAGTGGGGCGTGCAGGAGGCAGCCGGTCCACGATCCTCTCTCGTCACTGATGCTTCTATCTTTCTCCCTCTCCCTTCCTCTCTGAGATCAATACAAATATATTTTATAAAACAGTAAAGAAAGGCCCTGCCGGCCTGGCTGACAGGAGGCTCTGCCTGGCCAACTCCAGCGGCTGCCTTCCCAGCCGTGCTCACGCCGTGCGTGCGTGTGTGTGTGTGTGTGTGTGTGTGTGTGTGCGCGCGTGCAGGCCCCCCCCCCCCCCATAATCCCCGCCCGTGGTCCGCCCAGCTCCCCGCCGGCCCCGGGGGAGGGGGCGCTGCCTCCTGCAGGGCTGCCTCCAGCTCCCGGGAGAGGCCCCCTCCCTGCACCAGCCTCCACTCGGCTCCGCCTGCTAAGCAAACAATGATGGCAGCCGGGCGCCCGCGCAGCGGCCCGGAGGCCAGATGGCGAGCCGGCCCGCTCGCACCGTGAGCCCGGGTCTGCCCACGTGCAGCCCGGCCAGCTGGCGGCCGAGCCTGAGTGAGGAGGGACAGGGAGCGGGGAGGGGACGGGCTGGGATCCCGTAGGGAGAGCTCCCCAGGGCCCAGCCCGGGCAGCCCTCCTGCTTTCACGGTGGGCGGTCAGGAGCCGCCTCAAGGTCACGGGCAGTGCCTGGTGGGACGGGGTGAGGGGGGGAGGACAGCTGGGCTCAAGGCCGTGGTTACACAGCGTCCTGGCCCTCTCAGGCCGTCACACAGGAGGGCAGCCGAGGGGACTGGGAGCTCAGGCCCCCACCCCCCACTCCCACCCCTCCCCTGGGACAGAGGGACCCAGGCCTCCTCCCGCTGGGAAACTCAGGCCTTTAATGGAAGTCACAGAACAAGACCACCTCCGACGCTTCCTGCCTGAGGTCAGAGTTCACTGGGGTCACACGTGTGGCGCGTAGTAGGCCATCCATCCCAGCTGGCATTGGGCCGAGAGGCTGGTGGTGCGCTGTGGGGAGCGCGGACGGTGGCATGTGCACGCTCCCCCGCCCGCCACCCACGTGTTCCCAGCAGCATGGAGTGTGCGGGTGAAACCCACGCACACGCTCCGACTTGCTCCCACGTACACAGATGCAAGCACTCCGCGGGCTCCATGCTCCTGTGTTCCTGAGCGTGTGTGTGGGGGGAGGGGGGAGGGGGGAGGGCGGAGGGGAGACAGACCTCCCAGCTGGGGGGGGGGGGCACTGCTCTGGGTCTCCCGGCGCCCGGAGGGCAGCGGCCATTGGCAGGGGTGATGGGCACGGCTCAGGATGCCCAGCCTGGGGCGCCCTCCGGTCGAACCCCCCTGGGATCAGGAACGTGAGATTCCTGGGCTCGGACACCCCAGGTAGCTCTCCCATTCCCAGCACCCAGCCCTGCCCCACACCCCTGCCAGGGCCTGACCCGGCCCCCTGGAGGGGACAGCGCAGCGGGCCCTGGAGCTGTGGCCGAGGCGGGTACGCTGACCGCTCCCTGGACTTGACATTCTGCACCGGGCTCAGCCCCTTTGTCCTAAACGCCCACACTGTCGGGAGGATGGGCCTCAGCGGCAGGCCAGGCAGCACCCCGGCCCCCTCCATCCCCCCGCGGGTGGGAGGCCCTGGCTGGCGACCGGGACACAGGGAGGGACACAGGGAGGGACACAGGGAGGGACACGGCTCCCTGAGAGGCCGGCTGGGCTCAGGAAGGACCTCAGAGGAAAACGCCTCCGGGCCAAGGGGAGGGCCGGGAGCTGACCAGGGTCCTGAGGGACCTCGGCCGCAGGGTGAGGGTGCGGGGGGTGGGGGGGGTGTGGGGGGTGGGGGCGCTGGCTGAGATGCAGAGGTGGGCTCCCCCTTCGCATGGCCGGGAGGACACCCGAACCCCCGAGATGAAGTTTCCGACTGAAGTTGAACCAAAACTTCTCCCCAAGAACAGGGACGTGGTCGGGGTGCGCAGGCCCAGGGACCCCGAAGTCAGGAGCCCCAAAGGCTTGGGGGGCCTGGGGCAGCCACTCCCAGGGCCCGGGGGCCGGCCCTCATGCCCCTCCATGTCTACACAGCACATGCCTGCATGCTCCTGCCTGTGCGTGTGTGTCTGTGTGTGTGAGTCATGTGCACATGTGTCCCTGTCCGTCCACACGTGCACCTGTCCGTGCACAGTACACAGCCCCCCCCCACCCCCCAGGCCTTCCTGCCACCAGGCTGCTCTCGGGGGACCCCCGGCGGAGCCTCTCTGGGGACCCAGCGCTGTCGGGGCCTCTGGGGGCCAGAGGAGCAGCACCCCCTCCCCCCCGCCCCCCACAGAGCAGGGGGGTGGTGTGAGGAACGGGGGGGGGGCAGGCGAGACTTCAGGCAAAAACCCGGGTGCTTGGATAGGAGCCTCTCCCACCTCCCACCTCCGCCCTCCTTTGTTTCCTCTTTTGTTCGAGAGGAAGGTGAGCAGGAGGGAGGGGAGGGAGGGGAGGGAGGGGAGCAGGGAGGGCGCAGTGGGAGCTGGGGGCCGCGGTGCCAGCGCCCGCCCGTCCTCCCCCCCCCCCCCCCCCCCCGCCTCCTGGATTGCTCTCCTCAGGCGGCCCCTCAGCGCAGAGTGTGGCACAGGGGCCTGTCCAAAGGGCATTTTAATGTCACCGCCGAGCAGCCGGCAGCTCCCCCGCCACCGCGCCCAGGAGCAGCTGTAAGATGGAGAACCGGCCAGGCTCTGTGCCGCCGGCAGGGCCGGCAGCCACTGGGCATGCCCGCGTCCCACCTGCCACTCACACTTCCTGCCGAGCGTGTGCCACGCCGGCCTTCCACACCGAGCCCACGGGCGCCCAGCGGGCACCAGCCCAGCCACGCCGCCCGCCCGGTCTGGTCTCAGAGGCAGGTCACCGCGGCCGGGCGGGCGGGCGGCGCCGTGCGGTGGGAGGGAGCTCAGCGCAGCCTCTGCAAACCGGGGCCGGGACACCCCGCACAGCCTCCCCACACGGCCCAGCCCCGCCGCCTCCTGCTGCCCTTTGAACTTCCCAGCAGGGAGGGGTCCCCGCAGCCCGGCGGGCCGGGCTGGGGTTCTGGGGAGCGGGACCCGCCTCTGTGGGTCTGCGCCCCTCCCTCCGCCCCAAGCGCGGCCGCGGGCACCGGGACCCGGTCCTCCCGCGCGGGGCGGGGCGCGGGCAGGGGGCCGGCCGCGGGCTGCCCGCTCTGCGGAGGGGCCGGCGGTGCACGTACTTGGGAGAGCTCGGTGCCCATCAGGAGGAGGAAGAGCAGGCTCAGGAGCTTCCGGGCCGGCTGCATGTCTCGCCGCCACCCCCCGCGCCCTGGCATCGGAGCCGGTGCTCGTGGACGCGCTCCCGGCTGCTGGCTGCCGCTCCGCGCCCGGCGTCCCCGCGCCTTCAGCACCCGGAGCCGGCGGTGTGCGGTGCGGGGCGGCCGCTCTGCATATCGATCGGCTGGGCCGCGGGCGGGGCGGGCGGGCGGGGCGGCTCTCCGGCCCCTCCTCCCGGCTCAGCTCGGGGCTGGGAGGCGCTGGGGCGGCGGTGCCAGAAGTTTGGGGGAAGGGGCGGGTGGGGCGGGTGGGGCGGGGGCCGGAGGGACGGGCGGGCTCGGGCCCAGGGCGCGGGGCGAGGCCGGGTGCCGAGCGGACAGGATGTGACATCACCAGGCGGGGGATTTAACTGAAGGCGATCCCAGCCAGGGGACCGGACTCCGGCAGCCGGGGCTGGACCGGGCGGGATGCCGGGAGTGGACCGCGGTTGGGGGACCTCGGGGAGGGGGGTGGACAGAAGAGCAGGCCTCGCCCGCGGGCGGCCTCGCTGAGAGCTGCTGAGGCTCGGACCCAGGCCACGCTGCAGGGTTGGGCGGTGGGCAGGTGGGTGGTGGGTGGGTGCACCCACAGGCCTTCCTCCTGCTCTGGGTGGGGGCTTGGGTCCCCTTCAGGGTGTGGGTGAGGGTGCGTGCTGTGTCCTGGTTGGGTGTGAGCACGTGGGGGTGGGGGCACGGTACTGAGGGTCCCTGGGGGTCCCTGGGGGTCCATGTGGGCCCCTGGGGGTGTGTTTCGATGGGACAGGACACAGCTCTACCTCCCGGAGCAGCCTGGCCCGAGTCTCCCCTGAGGCCCGCCCTCTCCCCGCCAGGCCTGGACCACCATGGCTGTGGGCACAGCCTCCTGATTGCTCCCTTTCCCCGTCCCCTCTCCTCCCCTCCCCTCTTTTCCCCTTCCCCGTCCCTTTCTCCTCCCTCCTCCCCCCAGTCCCTCCACCACGGGAGCTGGTCCTGGGACCACTCTCTCCACATAGCCCTCCATCCGGGCGGAACCTTTCCTGCCAGTGTCTGACCAGCACAGAGCCCGTGAGGGGGAGCTGGCAGTGGAGGCTCAGCCCCAGCACAGAAGGCACAGTGGGCGCTGCGGCCCGGGTCCTCGGTCACAGGAGGGAGGAGCCTGCGGGTGGGGGAGGGGGCTCAGAGGGCCACCCAGGGGCTCCAGAGCGAGGCCCAGATGCTAGCCAACTCCTGCCGGACACCATGCCACCCGGCCACCGTGCCACCCGGTCACTGTGCCACCCCATCACCGTGCCACCCGGTCACTGTGCCACCCGGCCACCGTGCCACCCGGTCACTGTGCCACCCCATCACCGTGCCACCCGGTCACTGTGCCACCCAGTCACCATACCACCCGGTCACTGTGTCACCATGCCACCCGGTCACTGTGTCACCCCGTCACCATGACACCCGGACACTGTCACCATGCCACCCGGTCACCGTGCCACCCCGTCACCATGACACCCCATCACCATGATACCCCATCACCATGCTACCCCATCACCGTGCCACCCCGTCACCATGACACCCGGACACTGTCACCATGCCACCCTGTTACCATGCCACCCGGTCACCGTGCCACCCTGTTACCATGCCATCCGGTCACTGTGTCACCATGCCACCCGGTCACCGTGCCACCCGGTCACCGTGCCACTGGGTCCTGGAGGAGGCGCCTCTGGGCATTGGGTGAGGAGCTGGGATGGGGACCTCTAGGGAGCAGGTGTGGGGGCTGCCACCACCCCTCTCAAGGGCTCTGCCCGGGGGAGCTCTGCTCTCTGCTACTTCCTGGTGGGAAGCCACGGCGGGGCCCGGGGCTGAGCCGGGGCTGGGCACAGAGCCGGCAGTGGGGTCTTGTTCTCCCTCTCTCTGGTCTGTGCCCCCAGTGCTCAGGCTCACTCAGCGACCAGAGAGAGCCAGTGGGGGTCTGAGGGGAGCCCGCAGGGACAGGGGGCCGCAGGGAGGGGGGGCCACAGGGGCGGGGGGCGGGCTGCAGGGATGGGGGGAGCCCACAGGGATGGGGGGGAGCCCGCAGAGATGGGGGGGCCCACAGGGATGGGGGGGAGCCCGCAGAGATGGGGGGGCCCACAGGGATGGGGGGGAGCCCGCAGAGATGGGGGGGCCCACAGGGATGGGGGGGAGCCCGCAGAGATGGGGGGCCGCAGGGACGGGGGGCCGCAGGGACGGGGGGAGCCCACAGGGACGGGGGGAGCCCACAGGGACGGGGGGGGGGCCCGCAGGGAAGGGGGGCCCGCAGGGAGGGGGGGGCCCGCAGGGACGGGGGGCCCCCAGGGACGGGGGGGGGGCCCGCAGGGACGGGTTGGAGCCCGCAGGGACGGGGGGCCCCCAGGGACGGGGGGGGCCTGCAGGGACGGGGGGCCCCCAGGGACGGGGGAGGCCTGCAGGGACGGGGGGCCCCCAGGGACGGGTTGGGGCCTGCAGGGACGGGGGGGGCCCACAGGGACGGGGGGGCCTGCAGGGACGGGGGGGGCCCACAGGGACGGGGGGGCCTGCAGGGACGGGGGGGCCCACAGGGACGGGGGGGGCCTGCAGGGACGGGGGCCCGCAGGGAGGGGGGGCCACAGGGGCGGGGGGCGGGCTGCAGGGACGGGGGGAGCCCCGCAGGTACGGGGGGGGCCTGCAGGGACGGGGGGGGGGCCCGCAGGGACAGGGGAGCCCGCAGGGACGGGGGGCCGCAGGGACAGGGGGGGGCCCGCAGGGACGGGGGGGGCCCGCAGGGAGGGGGGGGGCCCGCAGGGACAGGGGGGGGCCCGCAGGGACAGGGGGGGGCCCGCAGGGACGGGTTGGGGCCCGTAGGGACGGGGGAGCCCGCAGGGGTGGGGCGGGGGTGGGGGGAGCCAACGCTGGGAGCTGAGGGCTGCGGCGCCCGTCTGCTCCAGTGAATGTGACCATCCACCGAATCGCTCCCTTAGAGCAGGTAAGACGTTACCGCTCGGCAATCTGTAACCACAGGGAGGGAAATGACAGTGCAGGCTGCCCCAAACCACTGAGGGCACGCGCTCGTTTGATGGCGGATCGTGGGGTGTGTGAGTTATGTCTTAATAAAGCTGTGCGTTATTGTTGTTTTGATGGCAAGACTCATTGTATTGCTTACATTTTTTTTTTAAATTGATTTCAGACGAAGAAAGAGAGAGAGATAGAAACATGAATGATGAGAGAATAACCGATCGGCTGCCTCCTGCACGCCCCACGCTGGGGGTCAAGCCCGCAACCCAGGCCTGTGCCCCGACCGGGAATCGAACCACGACCTCCTGGCTCACAGGTCAACGCTCAACCCCCAGCCCCGCTGGCCGGGCTCATTGTGATGGTTTGAAAACACAGTGCGGAGCCTGATGCCCAGTGAGACCAGAACAGCCGCCCGGCAATGCCCGGCGCCGCGAGGCTGGCATCTCCCCAGCGGGTGTGGAGGGAGGCCGAGGGCCCCGGTCCCCTCCCGGTGACCTGTGACCCTGGCGCGCCAGTCCCCGCGCCCCGCCTGCGCCTCCCGTGGCAGCCCTGAGCGGTGAGGCCGCCGTGCCTGGAGCCTCAGGGGCATTGTGGCTGGGAAGTCCTGGGCTGTGCCGAACGGCCCGGAGCATGGGAAACGGAGGCGGAGAAGGTAAGTCACGGAGACCGGTCCCCCTGTGCCCACGCCGGCCACGTGCCGGCCAGAGAGACGGTGTTCCGTGCCCCTTCCGCTGCCCCCCCTTCCCGCCTCTGCATGTCTGGTGTCCCAGGGTCTGTGATGCTGGTGTCTGCCCCGCCACCCCCCGCACCCCAAGTCACTGGTCCTGGGGGTCCGCCAGCAGGCTCCCGGAGGGCCTGGCTTCCAGTCGCCCCTTTGGGCTGCCTGATGTCCAGGCGCGAGGTGCCCACAGCCAGGGCCAGGCCACGGCTCTCTGCCGCCGACTGGTCAGACTCCGGCTTTCCGCCCCAGCGGCCGGCTTTCCCATGTGGGAGCCGGGGAGCGCCTCAGCGTGGCGGCTCCCTGGGGAGGTGGGCGCGGCCCGGCCTGGGGGTTCGGACCGGCCGGGCAGCGGCCCTGAGCCCCCTGAGCTGTGCTGTGACGAGGCCGGTGGGTACAGAGTCATGGGTGCCGCTCTGCTCACCAGCTGGCACATGGGGTCCCAGGGCCCCACCCCCTCTGCTGTCCTCCTGGGAGGACCGTCCCTTCGGAAAGCGCGGGCGGGCTCCGCGCTGCTTTAAGAGCTCCTTTCCCCGCCAGCCTCATTGTAACGTGACACAGCGGTTGCCAAGGTAACGGCACTCACCCTCCTCTCTCCTCTCTGCAAATTCCTAGCAAATGAGGCCGGAGCCGCGCCGGGTGTCCTGCGGCGGCCCCAGCGCCCCTCCGAGGCCCTGCCCGGCCCGGCCCTCCCTTCCCCGCCTCCCCGCCCCACGGCTCCCGAGAAACCGAGGCTCCTGAGCTGGGCACCTACTGTGCCAAGGCCCCACCTGGGCACAAGCAGCACACGCTGGGAATGAGGAAGCCACGAGACGGGGCGGTGGGCGTGGCACAGCCTGGACACCCGGAGTGGCCAGCGGGACGCGGGACTGGGGCCTGCCCCCTGCTGCGGACCAGGGCAGCCCGGAACCCCGGCCGCCAGGACCCCGAGTCCCAGGCAGAGACGGGGCTGAAATGCAGGGCCCCCGGCTCCCTGCTCACCCCTGTCTGGGTCAGAAGTCACCAGGCCCAAGTCCAGGAAGCAGTGCCCACGGAGTCCTGGGAGCCGCTGTCCGGCAGAAGGAGGCCGGGGCCTCAGGGCAGGGGGTGTTCCCGTGTCCCCCGTGTCCACCTGGCACGTTCCGGCCTCTGGGGTTCTACCTGCCATGTCCACACCAGGAGCCCGCTCTCCGGACACGCGGGCAGGATGGCACCTCCGGGGCAGCCGCACCCATAGCCCTCTGCCCGCTTCTGGTGGCCGCCGGGTGCTGTCCACCGCATCCGGTCAGCAGCCCTTCCTGCACCTCCTCGGCGTCCGCTGCGTGGCCAGTGTGCGCTGTGTTCGTCTCCCCATCTTCTCTTCGGATCGAGTCCAGCACCTGGCCTGACTGCAGAGCCGCCCGCCTGTGCCCGCGAGCCACACCCTCTTTCCAGCGGGGCCCAGGGAGCTTCCGCACAGCCACTCCCCCTCCC